GGACAGATTCCTTATCAGCTTAACTCATCCCTCCTACTGTTCTAAGAAGTCTTTGCTCATCTTACAGTCCTAATCAACATAAGCTTCTCAACAACCTAAGATCCTGATCAGCATAAGATCCTCATGTTCATAAGATTACCACCACCCACCAAGACATCTGATACTTCCTCCAATTGTAAGATCCTTGTAAATTTAGGCTGCCTTTTTTTTTTTTTTTTTGTACTGGGGATGGAACTCAGTCCTTGCACTTGCAAGGCATTCGATGGAACCACTGAGCTAAATCCCCAGCCCGTAAATTTAGGATTATCATTGCCTTCTGAGTCATCTGTTGCTCCCCATGAACCCAATAAATAGTGGCAAGCTCAGGGTGCCTTCATCTTTGCTGCCCAGAGCAGCATTGATCTGGCCTAGAACCCAGCTTCTCTAAATCTCATTTCCTGTCGTTATTCTTTAATTCACCTCATGCTGTTGTGGCTCACAGGAGACCAGGACCCATGCAGGAGTTCTGGTTACATCCCCTTTTCTGGTTCCTTACATGCTATCACTATTATCAAATGAAAGAAAAGACATTTTTAACCAAAAACACCGGAAGGGCATGGTCTCAGCATGAAGGATGATTCTTTAAACCAGATTCAAAGAGCTGAATAAAACCTCACAACATTGTCCTTTTTGTCCTCCTGTCACCTGGTCCAGGTGAAATTCATCATTGCCTGGCACCGCTCCTGGTGACCAGGTGACCACAGTGCTGTCCAGTGCCAGGTCCCGTGTGACCTGCTACAGCTATGGCCCAGAGCACTGTCCAGGACAGAGACCTTGTAGAGGGGGCCTAACCCACAATGCCCCCCAGATTCCCCTTTTTCTTCCTCCTTCACTTCTCTAGTACCTTGAATCTGTTCCCACATTTTTCTCCTCCAAACTCCAAAAAAAATTATTTATTTCTACTATGGCTTGGCTGTGGTTTCAGTGTGTCCCCCAGGGGCTCATATGTTGGGAGCTTGGTCCCAGTTTGGTGATGTGGGACCTTTGAGAGGTGGGGCCTAGTGGGAACAGTAAGGTCACTAGGGGTGCCCATAGCAGAAGTCACTGTGGTTCTCACAGACACGGTTAGTTCTTGAAAGATGGTTCTTACAAAAGACCATGACCAGACCTCATCAGTCCCTCTGGCTTCCTGTCTCATGCACACACCCACCATGATGCCATTCACCATGAGTTGATTTTCATCCTTTAAAGTGGTAAGCTAATTAACCTCTTTTCTTTTCTTTTCTTTTCTTTTTTTTCTGTACCAGGGATCGAACTCGGGACCTTGTGCTTGCCAGGCAGGTGGCGGCGGCACCACTGAGCTAAATCCCTGGCCCCTTGTTTTCTTTTTTTAAGGACCACCACCACTACCTTTTTGACAGTCATGGAGACCCAACCCAGGAACCTTGAGCATGCTAGGCAGTGCCCTCTGCTGAGGTACACTTGGCCATCTTATCTTTCCACATTACTCTGCCTCAGGTGTTCTGTCATGATGGAAACAGTTGAAGGAACTCTCCCAACTCCAGTCTTCATGCCTCTAGCCTAGAGGTCAGGATAACACAAATCAGCAAAGAATACTTGTGCCCCACCACCACCACCATAGAAATGGAGCAGCTGCTGTTCATCTGTGATGGACCCTGTCATGTTCTTCCTACATCCTCCTGCAGGTTCCTGTCCTGTTGACAGTGCTCAGCAGTCACCCCATGCAGGCCTTACCCCAGCTACCAAGAGCATTGCCTCGTCAATGGTCACACCCTCCCTGGTGTGGCCCACACCCAGTGATCCATGTGGAAATAGAAAGGCTGGCCACTTTTGCTCAACAGGACAATGCCAACAGGCCACCCAGCTCACACTGACCATGAGGTTGTGCAAGAGCCTGCGTCAAGCTCAATGTCTTCCCCCTCCAGTCTTCTTCCTTCCCTGCCTTCCTTCAGCATTGGTCCCTGTGGCATCTCCCTGACCAATATCCTTCAGATGGCCTCTAAATCAGAATCTGCTTTGTGCTACTCAACCTGCACCACAGGTTCCACAATCCTGGCAGAGCCACAGGCAGCCCTTTCCCCTCCAGTTGTCGCCGGGTGGGAACTTCCACGCACACCTTGGTGAGCGAACCCTCATTCCTATCTTTGTGCCTTAATGTGTCAATAAAGGAATTTGGATTTTTTTTTCTCTTTTAATAAAGACTGGCCTTCAAGACCATTGTCTAGCTGTAGACTCAGATACTGCCTCACAGAAGCCTGCAAAGCTGACTGGTAGCCCCTCCGTGCTGGGTGTACCCCCAGTCCCTTCCAAGGCTCCAGTTTTATAGTACATAGTTGGAAAGCTGCAAGCACGTTTGATTTAAGGGGGAAATAAAAACTCAGATTAAGTAGCTCCAAAATCTAATCCCTATCGCATACACAGTGGCGGTGGCAGGCTGTTGGGTGAGAGTGCTATTCTGGGCTTCTATGACCAGTGACATGCTCTCCATCATCCTAGCCCTGTGCTGTTTGCACTAAAGCTCAACAAATTCCAGCTGCCTGAGAGCTGGAGGCCAGGACGTCGAAGAGAGGAGGATGTCTTGTGCTTACATTCTTATTTGCATACATTTTGCCCTCTAGGCCCCGAAGCCAAATGAAGATGAGACAGAAGCAAGCCACAGAACTGATAGGATACTACTGACTGCTACTGCTGCCACTGACGGAGATCCTACCCTCTGGAAAGGGACCAAGGTCCAAACATCCCTTGGTGGCCTTCTCTAGAGAGGACAGATCTCTGCTGCATGGCTGGAGCCAGTTCTGTCCAGAGCTCACTCTGTGAGAGCAGGAGTCCCAGGGACCCCAAGGGATCAGGGCACCCCAGAAGCACCAAGTCCTCGGGATGAAGGCCAGATCTCCCAGACCCAGCACACACTGGCAGAGCAAGGGCACCAACAATGGGTATGATTTCTGTATTGATTATTGATGAACTGATCCAGAAGTTCACAATCAGGAAGGTCTAGAAAGAAGCTCTTTCATTTTCAGTGTATGTTTAAGCTTCATGATGTATGTATGGCTTGGTGTTTTTATTTTGGATTCCAGGGATGGCATAATCTTTTCAACACTAAAGACCTTTAAAGGCCTGTCCCAGCTCTGCCTGGGAGGCAGGAGGCCGTGGGATGGAAAATAACACAAAGAGAGGACAGGAAAGAGGTGATAGGGAATGGGGGGCGGGGCGGCCATGAGAATTCAGGCTGTGCCAGGCAAAGCCTTGAGGCCCTAAGGCCACACCACGCTGAAGTGGCTGGTGAGAAGCAGCCCTCCTGTACTTAAATAAGGGACACGCCCTGCCCTTCTGAGCCTGCTCCATCTCCAGGTGCTCACACCACAGGTGTGCACAGGTGCACGAGTGTGTGAGTTCACACCACAGGTCAGCCACACACATATGGTTGCTTAGAAACATTGTCACAACTTCCCTAGATGCCTAGAACATGTGCACACAATGACAGAGAACAGGTGGGCCGGGGATTTAGCTCAGTGGTTTCGCCACCTGCTGTGCAAGCAGAAGGACCTGAGTTCGATCCCCAGTATCAAAAAAAAAAAAAAAGAGCAGGTATCTCGGGCACACCTGCAGCAGCCCCTCAGGCCTTAGATCTCCAGCCTTTCTGGGGTTCACAGAAGCTTCGATGAGCCCTGGCTTTGTCCTAAGACAGTGGTTCTCAAAGTGACCTTCCCAGATCGGCAGCATCAAGGTCACCCAAAAAATGGTTAGAAATGCTTTGATTTCTTTCTTCTCCCTCTGGCAGAGCCCTGAGCTGTTTGTGAGGCGCCCTTGGGGCTACAAATCTATGTCATACATTTCATGTGCCATTTCCTGTACTAAATATACTTTTACACACATTATCTCATTTAAAACTCAAAAATACACTGAGATGTATACTGTTTCTCCCCTATACTTTTCTGGTGGGGTAGCTAGTTCCTCTAGCTCCCCCCAGAATCCCCACCCCATCTAGACTGCCCTGGAAACCAGCCGTCTGCACTGTTGGCACAGGAGAAAGTCCTTGTCATCTGACTGCATCCCCCACCACTGAAGGCACCCGAAGACCCCCTGGATGTTCTAGATGTCCCACTAAATGTGTTCTAAATGTCCCACTAAATGTCTCTTGAAACTTGCTCCAGGTAACCAGGCTCAGGCTCCCAAGTGCAGACTCGATTGCTCTGTAGCTGCAGCTCCTGTCCTGGCCCGAATGTAAACACCGCTGAGGACTGAGCCCTCCTTGTGCCGCCCCCGCCCACACCGTGCCAGTTTCCCCTTGGTATCTCCTTGCTGCGCAGCTAGTTCTAAATCTCCCAAGACAAGGCCTAGCCATCCAAGCAGGGGGTGGGACGAGGGCGGGAGAGCAGCCCCACCTCGAAAGCAGGCAGCCCCTCTGCCAAGCTCTCGCCTGCCTGCGCCACCGAAGAGCTGCTGAGAGGCAGCAGCCACGAGCAGGCAGCTGGAGGCCGGGATCCCCCAGTCCGGTCTACAGCCCAAAGCCTAGAGAGACAGCCCAGTCGCAGTTGGCCTGTGGGACTCACAGAGTCCTCTGCACATGAATCTTGTGCGAAATGTTTCCTGAGTAGCATTAGAAAAGACATGAGTTCGAATTCTGACTTCTCACCTACTTCCTGAGTGATCTTGGCTCATCACATGCCCTCTCGGGCTCTCAGTCTTTCATCTCTTTGGTGAAGAGGTGGAGCTGATGATTTATAAGGATGTCTCCTGCTCTGAAACTGGGATTTGGACTCCAGATTTCCTCGTGACTTTCCAGAGACCTGGCCAGGACACAGGAATCTGACATGACAATGGCTTTGGACCAGGATTTCTGCTCAGCGAAACTCATCTTTACTTGAGACATAGGTGTGGCCCCCTGGCTGGACGAACCTCACTTTGATCTGTTCCTCTCTCTCCCCAATCACTCCATACACCCCGAGGATTTCTCCTTCATAGGAAATCTGGGAGGAGACCCAGGCCCAGAAGCAGCCATGGGGGCCTGTGACATTGTGACTGACACCAACATCTCATCTGGTCTTGAGAGCAACACCACAGGCAGCACAGCCTTCTCCATGACCGGCTGGCAGCTGGCGCTGTGGGCCACAGCCTACCTGGCCCTGGTGCTAGTGGCTGTGACGGGCAATGCCATAGTCGCCTGGATCATTCTGGCCCATCAGAGGATGCGCACGGTCACCAATTACTTCATTGTCAACCTGGCCCTGGCCGACCTGTGCATGGCTGCCTTCAATGCCGTCTTCAACTTCGTCTACGCCAGCCACAACATCTGGTACTTTGGCCGTGCCTTCTGCTACTTCCAGAACCTCTTCCCCATCACAGCCATGTTTGTCAGCATCTACTCCATGACGGCCATTGCCATCGACAGGCAAGAGGGGACAGCAGGGAAGCATGAGGTGGGGGGTACCACCTTGGTGGGGCTCAGAGGGAGTGGTTGCTGGCCTGTGGTCACACAGAAAGCTAGGGGAGAACCCAGGGAACTGCCTCCCAGACCTGGCCATGATTCAGAGCTGTGGATCTGAAAACGGGGACTTTGGGACCAGAGCAGGCAGGGTCAGGGCTGGAAACAGAACATAGGGGCTGTTGGAGGATAGAAGAGACAAGTGGGAAGTGTCATGGGGACCTCTGGCATGCTCTTCTCTGAAGCTGAACTTTGTTTTGATGTCCTTTCGTCACTACAAAGAGATATTATTTTTCTGTTTCATGTTGCGTCTAGTTTGCATCTAGTTATTACAGGGCCAGTTGTCTGCCGGACACTGCTCTTCCGGGAAGTAGAGTGTGACCTTCCGAGGCTGGGCCTGGAGCAGAGGTGTGGAGGATTAGAAGTGGCTTTTGAAAGCTATTTGGGGCAGGCAGGGCTGTTGGTGCCTGGGCGAGTGTAGTGCAGACTGACAGCAAACAGGAAGGGAGGCGGGAAAGGTGACAGGGTGTGGAGGAGCCAGGGAGAGGAGCCTGCCACTCTCGGACAGAGGCCTCATCAGGGTGAGGTGTGAGCCTCGAGGCCTCCCCACATCCCTACCCCACCCCACTGACCCTCAGCCAGGGCTCTCCTACTGTGAGGTCTCCCTGAGGACTTCATTTGGGAAAATGTTATCCCCTAATTAAAAATGGAAAGCTTGAACACCATTCATCTAAGCCTAACTTCTAACTTCACACCCAGGGAAACTGAGGCTAGAGGAGGCAGGATCCCCTGATGCCAAGGTGAAAGTCAGGGGCAGAGACAGAGGCCCGGGACCTAGCCCTCTGGGCTGTTGGCACGGGGCGGGGGGAGTAACCTCATCATGTCACTGCGCCCCAACACTGTCAGAGGTACCCTAACCCTGGGTTTGGGGCTGGAAGGTTATTGGTTTGTTTTGGCAATAATGGGAATTTTTTTTTAATACAAGTTCTCACTATGTAGTTTAAGGCTGGCTTTGTGCTCACTAAGTAGCCCAGGCCAGCCTGGGATTTGCAGTGATCCTCCTGCCTCATCCTCCTCCCTGCTGGGATTACGGGTATAGATAGCCACCATGCTGGGCTGCAGCAATAGGGAGTGAATCCAGGTTCCTGCTTTTGCTAGGCAAACACTCAACCACTGAGCCATATCCCAGCCCATCCCCATCTCTGCCATTTTTCTGAATATCTCACTAGGATTTCTTTTCTTTCATAGAGCAAATATTTCAGTTCTCCCTCTGTGTCAGGCACAGTTCCAGGCCCTGGGAAAGAACAACCCCAAATTCCTGACCTCTCATCTAAAGGGTAGGGTGGGCTGCAGAGGGCCAAGGGGAGCCCAGAGGACCTGACAGGAGAGATTAATAATCCAGGACAGGGTGGTGGCTCGGATCAGCTGTCAATAGTGGAGACTCACCCATTCATATCTTCCTTTCTTCATTCATTCATTTAACAAATATGTGTCCAGTGCCTGCTATGTGCAAATACTATTCTGGCCATGGCAGGGGACAGGTAAATGTGCCTGCCATGGTGGGAATTTAAATCATAAGTACATAAATAAGTTCTATGTTATATTTGGGGCCATGAGTGCTATGAAAAATATTAGCAAGCCAGGCGTGGTGGCACATGTCTGTAATCCCAGCACTCAGGAGGCTGAAGCAGGAGGATCACTATGAGTTCGAGGCCAGCCTGGGCTATGTAGTGAGTTCAACACCAGCTTGAACTACACAGTGAGATCCTGTCTCAAAAAAAACTATTAAAGAAAACTGAGAGGAAAGGGGAGCCAAGGTGCCAGCCAGCCAGATTGTCGTGTTGGATGGGCACTAGGATGGGTCTCATTGTGAGAACAGGGTTTGAGTAAAGACCAGAGCGCAGGCCTGGTGGGCTCTTGGGGGGAACACTCCAGGGAGCAGATGAATTGGAAATGCTTGCTGGGCAGAGCCAGCATCCACACAATGCCCAAGATGCCACTGTGCTGTGAACTTTCCTACTCCGGCAGGGGCCGCATGAAGTATGAAGCTTCATCCCAAGGGTCAGATTAATCCCAGAGAGGGAGGTCATCCGGGCTGGAAGCTATTTCTGGTAATGGAAAGGAAGTGAATAAATAGGAGCAATCACACTCTCCAGCCCCCAGCTCTGGCCTACTGGGTGCACTTCTTGAGCTCTTGCTTCTGTCACCAACAGTCCCGGGGCAAGAACTTCCCAGAGGCATAAATGGAAATCTGAAGAGCTAAGACTGCTTAAGATCCTGTTGCCAGAAAGCATTGGAGCTAGGAATCAGATGGGGATCATTCTAGATGCAGTCCCAGGAGCTGCCTCTGTAAATACAGGGTGTGTGCTGTCCTCCTTCCCACCCACATCCCAGAACAGCGGGGAGCCTGCGTCCCCAAGTGACCTTCATCTCCTATGACTCTGCAGCATTTTATGGGGAGAGAGGCACTGGAGAGCATTGGGGAAACAGGCCCATTCCTCTCGCTGAGGGTCTGAGCCTGGGTCCAGGCTGTGGGTAGAGCAGAGCTGGCCCAGGGTACAGCCACAGGTATAGGAGGATGACAGTGTCACAGGGAAAGTAGAGAGGAGATTCGAAATCCTGTAGTCCAGATGTCCCTATCCCATGGCCATGGACTGTGGGGAGACACCAGAGAGCACACTAACTTGAATAGGGACAAGAAAGTTATAGTTCCAAATGTAGACAGCAAAGCAGTTTGTTGCGACTCCAGCAGTACCTGGAGCTTTGGCACCAATAGGAATCACAGATACTTGTGTTGCTGCAGAAAAAGATGGCTAGGTGTGGTGGCATACACCTGTCATCCCAGCTACTTGAGAGGTTGAGGCAGAAGGGTCAAGAGTTTGAGGCCAGCCTGGGCAACTTAGCAAGATCTTGTCTGAAAATAAAATAAAAAGAGCTAAGGAGGTAGCTGAGGAATAGAGTGCTTGCCTCTCATGTTCAAGGCCCAGGTTCAAAGCCCAGCCCCATGGGCTGTGTGAATCCTGGAAAGCCAGGGGAGCTGCCCAGACCAGGAAGGTTCAAAGCCTTCCAGCCTCTATCTCCTGATTTGGAAGGTGGACACAACAGTCCCTGCCTACGACCACTGGGCACAGGGCTGCCAAAGGGTGGCTCGGACCTCCACAGTCCCTGGAGACAGGAGAGCAAGACGGGCCTGTTCTGACTGACTTCACCGAGGAGAAGGTGTCTCACATGGACTCTGATACAGAAATTAGGAGGAGCTCCCATAGAAGGAGCTCTGGGAGGAGAGAGGAGGAAGCACCCCACAGAGGGCCGTTTTGGGCTGTTCCCTGACCATAGTGAGCCTAGGAAGGCATGGGAAGCAGTGACAGAGGAGGCTGGAAAGTGTACTGGCCACACGAAGAAGGCCTTGAATGCTGAGTTCAAAGTACAGATCTGGGGCTGTACTTTCCAACATGTGCCTATTTAAGTTCACACTGATTACAATATAAAGCCACCCCCCCAGGGCTCCGCATGGCATTGCATTAGTGCCAAACAGGAAAAGACATATTTAGAACTTCCCTACCATTACAGAAATTTCTGGTGGGCAGTACTGGTCCAGGTTAGTCCAGGAGACAGAAAAGCCAGGCTGCAGTTTCTGACGAAGGAGGCCTGGGCTAGGGTGAGGCTCAGACAGGGCTGAGCTGCAGGCTGGTGTCACCCAGCCCTGCCCGGGGCTGGACTTCAGTGTGGCCATATGGCTGCCATGCGTGTCCATGCCCAAGAGTCCCAGAGGGCTGGGCTCAAGGCCACTAGTGTGCTGCATGGCCAGGGAGGGTCACCAGCCCCTCAGGCTCTCCGAAGGTCAGTCGCCACTCCTGGCATGAGCAGTGGCACCATGGGAAAGAAGGGGTGGTGGAATGGGAGGCCACCTGCCACTCACACTGAGCTCTGCCCACAGATACATGGCCATCGTCCACCCGTTCCAGCCACGGCTCTCGGCCCCCAGCACCAAGGCGGTTATCGGCGGCATCTGGCTGGTAGCCCTCGCCCTCGCCTTCCCCCAGTGCTTCTACTCCACCATCACTGTGGACCAGGGTGCCACCAAGTGCATGGTGGCCTGGCCCGAAGACAGCGGGGGCAAGTCACTCCTCCTGTAAGGCCAGGGGCTGGGGGTGCATGTGCTCGTGAGTGCATGCATTAGTGTCTACGTGTGTGGGTGCTCATGGGGTGTGCACACGGTATTACTTGAGCACACGTTTCTGCTGAGGCTCCTCAGCTAGCATGGGGTTATGCCCGGATAAAACTATTAGGAGATCAGACCACGTATCGCCAGGCTGGTGGGAAAAGATGCAAAGTCAAATCTCAAAGTACGCTTTCTACCGAGTCCATGTTGCTTTTGCAACTGGGTAGTCAAAACATCACTGAGCCGGGACATTTGAAGTTTGGAACCATCTATACTAGAAGTAACTCTAAGTGCCAGGCCCTTCTAAGCACTTTATATTAAGTTCTAAGCACTTTAATTTTAACCCATTTCACCCTCTCAACATTACCCAGCATATAGAATAATGATGATGCCACTTGGGGATGGAGAAACTGAGGCACTGAAAAATTAAGGATTGTGCCTACAACTAGGGAGTGGCAAAGCAGGGACTCAAGGCGGGCAGCCTTGCCTTCAAGCAACCTCCCAGTCACTGGCCTCTAGCTCAGGACACGTGTCCTGAATAAGAATTGTGTCTATATACACTAAGCGGTGCAGCTCTGCCCATCACACTTGTGTGCTGTACCTGCTCCTCTCTGTGCGTATAGGTGGGTGGGTGTGTTGTAGATGTGTGCACACAAGCATGTGTTAGTGAACATGTGTATAGAGGGCTCTGTGTAAGCTTAGCCCACAAAGGCCAGGAGATCCTGGCACAAAGGGTGGGGTATGGAGCCTGGGCCTGCTTCCTGCTGAGGTGGGCACTATAGGCTGGGGCAGGGAAGGAGCCAAAGGAGAACTTAGCAGGGCCCAGCTTCTGTGTGACCTGGGTATGTCCTCTCTCCCTTCTAGGCCTGTTTCTGAGGCTCTCACAGTGTGGCTTTGGGATCTCCAAACATTGCATCCTTGGTTAGTGGAGGATAAAGAATTGACTAGAGCCAGGCATGGTGGCACATGCCCGTGATGCCAGCACTCTGGGAGGCTGAGGCAGGAAGATCACCAGTTCTAGCCTGGACAACCTAGCAATCTAGCAAAATAAAAAATAAAAATAAAAAAAGGGCTGGAAATGTAGATCCATGTAAAGGCTCTAGGTTCAAGCGCCAGTACTGAAAGAATGAAAAAAGAATCGACTGAAGGTTAGGAGTCAGCAGACAGTTGAGTTTTGGCCTGTCCCTCCCAGATGGAGATCCTCTGGGCAGTCTCCCCGAGCCTTTGGCTCATTCTCTTGAAAAACCAAACTTAGTGATAATGCATTTTATGTACATGAAGCCCTTAGCATTGTGCCTGGCACAGAACAGTTGCCCAGTGTGCAGTAAAGAGAGGACAAGAGAAAACAAATCCTGAGGTGGCATCTTTAGTCCATCAAAGGCCTGGGCGCCCCAAGCTTGAGGATGTGCATGATCTCAGCCAATGGCTTCCAGGTAACCATTGTAACACAGCCAACACCCCACCCCGTTTAGTACCTCTTCCCCTCAGGTGCCCCTATGGTCAGAGCACTGCCACACTTCGAGGTGGGGATACCCTTGCTCTCTACATTGGGGAAGTCGCCATCTGCTAAGCAGCCTGTGTCGGGGAATGACAAGTCCTAAGGACAGGCTTTGCCCAGGGTCCCTGCTTCCACTCTACCTCACCAGGGTGGGGGCGTTAGAGAGGAAGGAGCCCTTTCTGGTTAAGCCAGGTGGCCAGCAGGACATTTTGGACCCGGCCACTAGGCGGTGGGGGCAACAGAAGGGCCCCTTCATACGGGGCCCTTCTCCCTGGAAGGAGCACCAGGAAGCACATAGGATACCAAGGACCCATCCTCCAGCGTTGAATTGGAACCATGACTCAGACAACAGTGAAAAGCAAGAGGCCAGGGTGGGCAGGAAAGCCACTCTTAGGGTGGGAGGTGTCAGGAAATTACAGATGTCCCCCTCTCCAGAAAAATACATATTTACCCCCCAAATCAAACACAAAAAGCACAGCCCAGGTTTGAGGGGAGGCCTCCCTGACTGGCAGATTCTAGAATGTGGCCCCCAACACTCCCTAGCTCTCCCTTCTATTCGAGCACTGGACCCAGGGCGAATTCCCAGCCAGCAGAGTCCCCAGGAAGGACTAAAGTGCTGCTGACACTTGGGAAGGACTGAGATTACTTCTTTATTTTATAGATGGGGAAACTGAGGCTGTGGGAGAAACCTTACTTGCCCACAATCACACTTTAAATTAGAGACTGGACAAGAGCCCCATTCTTCCGAAAGGGAGATCATTTGGGTCTAAAGTGTGGAAAGTTATTTCCCATGCACAGACTTCCTGCCTCTCTCTGGGCTGCAGCCTCCTCTCTGGACACTGAGGCATGTGGCCTGGTTTATTTAGAGTTCTCTCTAGACTAGGTGCCCTCGATGCTCTTCCCCTCTTACCTGCTCAAGGAGGGGGCTCCTCCAGAACTTCTGGAAGGGGGCCCTGCAAGAGTGGCATGTGGACGAGGGACACCCCAGCTTTCCTAGTAAGGAAGAAAAATGCTACACAGAGGGGCCCAGAGGACTCGGCCCATCCTTGGGGTGTTCCCCTATCTGGGACTCCCTCCTCAGGCTGGGGCTGCAGAATCACCCAGCAACAGAGCCAGGGACACAGGTCTCCTCCATACCGAGGAAATGAGAAGCTTCAGCTCAGACCGGTGTCCTCCCTGGGAACTGGGCAGGTGGCTGTAGTGCTCTGGGTCACCTGCTCAAAGGTGGGTGCACGGGTGTCTGCTGACAGGAGCAACGTTCCCAGCAAAAGGCTGATGGGCAAGATGCTGAGTACACAGCTGCACGTAAAATGTGATGCTGTTCCAGTGCCCCATTCCTTGATAGGGAGGCTGGTACACAGTGACACCTCTTTCTTCTTTCTTTCGTGTTGTTTTTTTTTTTTAAAACAGTGTCTCACGGTGTAGCCCAGGCTGGCCTTGAACTCATGGCAATCCTCCTGCCTCAGCCTCCTGAATGCTGGGATTACAGGCGTGTGCCACCATGCCCAGCAAGGATGGTATTTTATAATTCCAGCAGTTCCCTGTATCCATCCGTCTGTGATATATATAATCTATCTGATGCATACGTACTCACACATATGTTACCTATGCACACATAAGGTCCTGGAAAACCAACGCCAGATCCTCAGTGGTGGTGGGAGGGGGACCAGTCACTTCACCTTCTCCTTCTTGCTTAATGGTATTGTGCACTGTAAACAAATGTAACCCTTAACTAAGTCTTCACTCCTACTTCCTGTCCCCTTCCCCCTTCCTCTCCCTCTTCCCTTCTTATCTTTCTCCTTCCTACCCTTCCCTTTCTTCTTCCCCTTCCCCTCCCCCTTCTTTTGACAAGGTTTTGCTAAGTCGCTAAATTTCTCAGGCTTGGTTTTAACTTGGCCATCTTTCTGCCTCAGCTTCCCAGCAGGCTGGAATTCTAGACAGAGGCCACCACTCCGGGTTCATTTATTTTTCTTTAACTCAAGCGGAGGCCTCTAGAGGTGGCGCAGGGTGGGGCTGCCGGGTAGAAGCTTCGAGGTCCAGCTCCCAGCGCAGATGTCGGAGTCGCCTCGGGCCACTCGCTGCCCAGGCCCCTGGCTGTCTCTCCAGGTACCACCTGGCGGTGATCGTCCTCATCTACCTCCTGCCGCTCACTGTGATGTTCGTAGCCTACAGCGTTATCGGCCTCACGCTGTGGCGGCGCGCGGTCCCCAGACATCAGGCGCATGGCGCCAACCTGCGCCATCTGCAGGCCAAGAAAAAGGTGAGGCCAGGGGCTGGGCCGGGCACAAACGGGGGGCGGGGCCGGGGCACGGAGGGGCGGGGCGGGGCCGACGCGCAAGGCAGGGGGGTGGGGCGGGGGGGGGATGCGGGAAGCGCGCCATTAACTGCTCTTGTGCCAAGCCCGGGCCCCAGAGCCTGAATTCCTTCCTCCCCAGCAGGTGGATTGGCTCTTGGCTTGGAGGCAAATACAAAGTTAAAGTATCTTAGAATGGCAGGATCTTAGAATAGTAGAATTTTGGATAACTGGAATGTTGAACTTTAGAAGCCCCTTAGGAGTGCCTACAGGAGGCGCCTGGATCCTAGTGTTGGAATGACAGACCTTAGAGGTCTGGAGACTGCTTTACAGTCCGGCTTCTTCAAGTCTGTCTCTGATTTCTGTGGGATGTGCTGGACCTGCAAATACCCCCCTAGCTATCCAGGGCCCCCAAAGGGTGCTGTTTATAGCATTCTATGAGCCGACCTCCTCTGCCCTCCCCCAAGAAAGGCCGCACCCTTTCTATGCCAGGCACGAGGAGGAGGCGCTGGGTGAATCCTGCCGTGTAGCCAGGTCAAAGTCGTGGCTTCTCTGGATAGCAGATTTTTCAGGGCTGTTCAGGGAGGCTGCTGGGCATCAACCACCTTCAGGAGAATGGAGAGTGGTCTCCATTTGCCATCCAACTTTGCCTTCATCACTCCTGGGGTGCTGGGCAGTGCTGGCTGTGCCTGTAGAGGCTGGGCATTTGGGGTTGGGGCCTGGGGGTCAAGGATTTGGCCTCTGGGTGGAGGCTCAGGGTCCCTGGTTGGGGCCTCAGTGCCCACAGATAGAAGGGCTATAAGCAGATACAGATCCCAGCAGGGGTGCAGCCTGGGACCCCAGAGCTGGGTCAGGAGCCCCTAAGGGTAGGGTCAAGCATGAGAGCTTATCCACTTTGCAGGGAGGAGAGCTGTTTTGTGGAAAGGATCAGGAAGAGGGGGCCACGCTTCAAAGGAAGGACGGTGGGGTGGGCAGAGGGATGGGCCTGTGCAAAGGCCCTGAGGTGGGGGGGGCTCAGGAGCCTGTGGGCAGCAGGTGCCCTGGAAGGGTGGGGATTGGCCTAGATGGCTGAGGTGTGACCAGAGACTCTCCTGGAGCAGTTTGTGAAGACCATGGTGCTGGTGGTGGTGACATTTGCCGTCTGCTGGCTGCCCTACCACCTCTACTTCATCCTGGGCAGCTTCCAGGAGGACATCTACTGCCACAAGTTCATCCAGCAGGTCTACCTGGCACTCTTCTGGTTGGCCATGAGCTCCACCATGTACAACCCCATCATCTACTGTTGCCTCAACCGAAGGTGAGCCCACCCAGCTCCCCCCTCCCCCCAGTACCCATGGACAGGCCCCACATGGGCTCCCATGGCCCCGTGTCCCCGCTGTCTCTTCTGGGGTCTACATCTGGGACAAGGAGGACAAAGCAGGACCAGAGAGAAGGAGAGATGGAGGGAAGGGGCGAGTAGAGAGGGGCAAAAGGACAGACAGAGTGGGAGGGAAAGAGTCAGGTCATAGGGGAGTGGCTGCTTCTATCCTGACGTTTTCAAGTTTCCTCCTGCGGACTTATCTGGGCCAGGTGAGCAGCAGCTGCCTGGCATATGAAGCACAGGAGAGGGGGCTGGGGGCAGGATGGGGGTCACGGTTCATTTCCTCCCCTCTAGGGCAGCTGGGAAGTGACCTTGAGAGAGGTGGCCAGGGAGCAGGGACAAGGGTCTCTCTCACTCCTCTGCTGCTTCTCCCCACTGGTGCTGGGGAAGTGGAGTCAGGGCAGCTGTGAGCCAGGCAGGAGCCCCAGGCCTGGGAGTTGTGCTCAGCCTGGGGAATCCTGAAGGTGGGGTGGTTAAAAGGAGGGGCAAAGCCAAAGCCAAGTCTTGGCCCAGCAAGACTGATGTGGGTGAGGCGTATTTGATCACCTCACTGGCCAGGTGCCCAGGCTACTCAAAATGCCAGAGTAAAATGCCATATGGTACTCAGACATCACACTCACCTGAGGCAGGGGGAAAGGACCTGATTCTTGGAGGGCTTCCTGGGGGCCCAACCCACTAGCTCCTAAGATGTAAGTAGATAACAGGAAGAGTTCAGGTGGGCCCAGGACAGAGTTGAAGAAACAGCCTGAAAGAAGAGACTCTCCTAAGTCCCTACATGAACAACAGAGCAGGAATCCATATACAGTGTATCTCCATGACCTGTCGTCCTGTCCCGCATACACATTTCTCGTGAGATCAGGGGAAAACTCAGGGTGGGGGCTGGTCACGTCAGGGAGGGACCACCAGAACACCATGCTACCCCACCACACAGTCCCTGGGAGGGGGAGCAACACCAGCACCCCTGGGCTCTCCCTGTTTCTGCAGTCACCTCTGAATCATTCGCTCATGATGACACCAGCGATCACAGAGGTCTGGGGCTGTGGCAGGACTCTGCATTCATTCAGAAGAAGCTCGCCAAGTGGTGACATGTGCCCGGCACTGCCCAGGCCCTGGGGAGCCACCAGTGAGCAAAAGGAGACCCCTTTCTTCAGGGAGCTGACCTGCTGGGGGCAGGAGTGGAGCTGGACCATAAACAGAGTCAGTGGATCCCATGGTGTGCTAAGCAGCAGTGCCGTGGGGACAAGAAAACTAGAGGAGGCGAGGGACGACAGGAAGTGCTGAGAGGCTTTGATATCAGGCAAAGAGGGCACAGCTTTACATGTGAGCAAAGGCCCAGGTGACCGAGTCAGCCCTGTGGACCGAGCAGGAGTTCCAAGCCGAGGGAAGAGCTGAGGGACCAGTCGTGACAGCTGTGTGGTTGACGTAAGGACATGGGCTCTGAGCAGGGAGACAAGCTCTGACGGGACACGGGGACAGGCTGTGATGGCTTCAGGGAGACGCAGTCGGGGTCCTGAAATGGCTGGTTTTGGCAGCTGCATTTGACAGAGGAGGTGGCGTGTGTGAGCAGCAGCGATGGATGATGGGACAGGCGGCACTGTCAGGAGCTGAGGTTTGGAGGGCCGCTGGGAGCTTGGCTGGGGGCCCACGGGTGTGGGGTTGAGGCCACTTGAGGCTCCACATGGGCTCTGGGGCCGCACCATGGGCTTTGGTAGAGCCATGCTGCAGGTGGCTCTTTTGGAACATGGAGCCCTGCAGCCCAGGGAGTGGTGATGCAGTTCTGCCCTCTCCCGGCTGGCTCAGCATCCATATCTGAGTAGTCTGTCTTCTTCTATTCCAATGCATTTCTCCCACTCACCTTCCCCTCCACTCCAGCCAACACCCAGACCTTCCATGCTCCATGGGGAGAATTTATTTTTTAAGCAAATGTACCTAAACCTGGTGTGTGAATTTTCCTTTGGAGCAGTCCCTTCAGAGAGCATTTCTTAGTCCCATTTTTTTTTAAAAAAAACTGACTCCCCTTTGAATACTCCTCTAGAAGCCAGCTAACAAGTCAAACAAGAAAAACCTGCTGTTCTTTTGTAACTATGCATGGGTTCTTTTTGTTTGTAGTAACAAATAGCCTAGGTCAGCTTAATCACCCACTTCAATCACAGATGGAACTCTAGTAGAATACTTCTGGCTGTTTCCAAAAATCCAATCCACGAAGGTACACATCTCTCAGAAGCAATGGTGGGCTCTTCAGAGTGAGCAGCTGCTTTCCTCTGGAGGGGCGATAGTGTCGGGCTGGGCAGTCATATTACGGCTCCTGTACCCCTAACTCCCTGGTTCAGGGTGACCCTCCCTCCCCCAGGTTTCGCTCTGGATTCCGGCTGGCTTTCCGGTGCTGCCCATGGGTCACGCCAACTGAGGAAGACAAGCTGGAGCTGACTCACACGCCATCCTTCTCCTTGAGGGTCAACAGGTGTCACACCAAAGAGATTTTGTTCATGGCTGGGGACATAGTCCCCTCAGAGGCTACCAATGGGCAGGCTGGGGGTCCCCAAGATGGGGAGTCCGTGGAGCTCTGAGTCTTGTGCCTGGCTGGAGGGCGGAGCCTAGCACCCCTGGAGAGGCAGCCAGTTGAAGTCCGCATCTGACAGCCTGGCCACCATGCCCAGCCTTCAGTCCGCCAGCAGGAAGCAAGATGGCCCCAGGAACTCTATAGAGGATGCAGGCATCAAGAGGACCCAGCCACCCATCTCAGAGCCCTTGGGGACCTAGGAAGGGTCAGAGAAGACACTGCAAAGCTAACATTTTGTAAGTGCAGGAGCCACAAGATCAAATCTCTTCCCAGGCATACAACATAAAGAGTAAAATAGATCCAGCTGTAAAGAAAAACTGCAAATGCAATGATAAAAAGCAACAGAATTGCAGCCTCAGTGTTGGGGTGACAGGGAAAAGTAGTGACTGTGGTAATGTGGAGAGGACAGGCACCCAAAGGAGGCTGCAGCTGCTCCATGTGGCACAGCTGTGGTAATAGGTTATGAGTCGTATGGTAATGGGAGCCCACTGTTGCCAGATTTTCCAAGAAACCTGGAAGTCCACATCTGCGTGTAAACCCTCCAAACTTCCTAATTTTGGCTCATAAAAACATCTGTAACCTGGGGTGGGTGAAGCATTACCTGCGGGCAGCACACAATCATGACATGGATTCACTGAGGCCACACTAGGAAACAGCCGCCATACTTTGCAAAGCCCATCCACTATGAGTCAACCTGGGGTTTTTCTGCCTCGGAATCTACAAGGCCAGAAAGAGCCCCTAGTAGATGCAGGTAGGAGTCAAAGGAAACCTCAGCTGTGTGCCTTGGGCAAGCCAGTCTGACCCCAGCCTCTTCTGCCCAATGACAAATCTACCACCCAGGGCTGCTCTGAGGATCAATGGAACTGATGCCTATAAACCAGCAAGCCACTCACAGATTGTGTTCAATGAACAGTAGCCACACCTTTTCTCTTTACTCTGCCAGCCAGCAACACTGCTCCAACCTCACTTCTGCAGCAAGAAGCCGGCAGGCAGAGAACACCTGTACCTACCAGCTCCTATCATGCTCCGGGCTTTGCTCACCCAAGGGCACAGCCCTCCCCACTTGCAAAACCAGAGCTCCTCCAGAAGAACCAGGTACACTGTAAATGCGTACCCAAAGGTCAGTGTCATCTGTGTTCTCCCCAGAGGTCACTGTGCTAAGGACACTGGCACCACTGATGCCCCCAATAAAGAGACTCTGATCTCATCAAGCCGAGTGGGCATGCAGTCAGTCCTGGGGAAGCCACTTGGATCTGCCATCATGGCTGGGACATCACAGGGCACCTGGACGTGCTGACTTGAAAGCCACTGAAGGGCTCTGGGGGAAGAACCCAGAATGGCAGTTTTGGGGTGGAACGGCCTTAGGCCCCGTGGGGTGAGAGGGACAGATAGGCAATGTTAAGATGGGGAGCGGAGGGGAGACACAGCCGCCCCGGGGGCCACCTCCACACTTGGTGTGTGGGGGCAGGGGTGTCATTATTGGCTGTCCTGTGTGGGCCAGGAGGGAGGTGAAGCTGCATCTGCTTAGGGGTGTCAGAAGGACAAGTGCCGCACAGTCCTCTCAGTAAACCCAAACTGTCCTTGGAGGCTGCCTCCCTTTTCCTGTGTTCTAGCAAGTTTAGAGGACAGAGGCCTCTCCCTCTGTCCCTTCATGTGGGCCCTCAGGTGGAGACTACAGGAGGCCGGGGCTGGAATAGGAATAGGCAGGAGGTGCTAGAGACCAGGTAAGAGGGTGCTTCCAGGACACTTTTCAAGGACAGTAAAGAAGTCCTCATGGCTCAACTGAGGCTGGGGGCTGAAGGCTATAATCTTTATTTTAAACTCCCCCCTCCCCACAAAAACCCCCAGCATCTGGTTTTCCTAAGATCTCCCCTCCGCCAGCCAGGAAGCATCATCACTCAGGTTCTTGAATCGGTACAAAGTTTACTAGGTCACACAACATGGCTCACAAAAGCGATGGGAATTCCAGTGACGTGTGGTTTGTGGGCTCTTTTTACCCAAATGGAGACAAGACACTTTCCCACAGGACTGCCCACCTCCCCCCACGAGACACACAGAATGCAAGACTGTCATGACGTGGCTAGGACTGGTTCCACAGACACACAGTTTAGTGCCACTGACCTACCCTGACAAGATGCCAGGCCGAGGTGGGTGCTGGGACAGGAGGAAGCAGTGATGCTATATCCACACTTACCCTGCAGGCCGTGCCCCCAGGAGGGGGTCTGGCAGTGTCTGCTGGTGATAATACACTTCACCCAGGGGAGGCAACCCCAAGGACAGGCTTTGGAGGCCCCAAGGGCCTGTCTGGTGGTGTGACCTTTCATCTGAGCCAACAGACAACCCGGCTGATGGGCACCGGTGGTAGAAATGGATGTCGCTACACTTCACAGGTGGGGAACGCACGACCAGGCTGAAATCAAATCATGCAGAGTGGCAGGGCAGGTGAGGGGTCCAGGTGAGAGATTATCAACAGCACACACTCTATGTTGTACCCTACATTATACACCATTAGCTGGATTCTCTTTTCCTCCCTGCTGCAGGGTGGTGGGCTCTGGCGCCGGGGCTGTCCCCAGCATGGCTCGCTGGAAGGAACAGGGGTCGTCGCTTTTGGAGAGAAGTGCTGGAAGGGCGGTGGGCTGGGGTTCCTGCACTCTTAGCTGCTCGCTTCTTCTCGGAGCCGCACACCCACGGCCGTGATGAGGGCTGCCCCCTTGCCGCTACCATCTTCAGACAGGAGGAAGGACACATTACACTTTGGCGACAGTTCCTTCACCGTTTGGTGCATGATTTTGGAGAAGCTGAGAAAGACAAAAAAAAAAAGAAGAAAGAAAAAAAGAGAGGAAAAGGTTGGTGGAGGAAGCTGAGAGGCAACAATGGGCCTGCCGGCAAACACTCAAGTTCCATCGTCAATCCTGTTCCTGTAGCTCCCAGCAGGGAGGCCCAACCCAGGGTCCCAGAAACAAGCTGCACCACACAGCTTATGAGGCGAGGCTCAGACACCCCCTCCTCAGCACTTGGGGCTCCCAGGGGCCTGAGGCCAGTAAGGAAGCTAGGGCCAGGACGGGGACCACTGAGGCAGGCCCAAGAGGTGACACGGGGACAGACACGGCCCATCACAGCTGCGGCCCTGAGACCCCACCCAGCACCACCTACAGCCAGGCACCCACACCTGCAGCTGAGAGGGAGCCCTCTTGAAAGGGATCATCTCTAGGTCAGAGGTGACTCTAGGTCATTTGGAAAGGACAATGCCAGGCTGGGACTCCCAGCAGTCATAACCACTCCTCAGTGAGCACCTGCCAGGTGCCCCCTACTTGAATACCCAACTTCTAATTCTGGCAGGAGCCGTTACCCCATGAGGCAGATGGCAGAGATTAGGCAACTGCCTACAGCTGCTAAATGATGGGGCCAGGACTGAATCCAAGAGTTCCTGGCCTCAAAGCCTATCCCCACACCAGTGACCTGTGCTGCCTCTGGTGACAATGAAGACAGCTAAGGAGATGGAGAGATGGAGTGAGGACGAAGACGGTGGAACCCCGGCCACAGGCATGAAGTAAGCAGGTAAGGTCTCTGTGGAGCTAGAGGCCCAGTTTATCTGGGATGGTCCCAGAATAACAATCAGCAGCATTTCTTCCCTGGCTAAAGTACCCCTACTCTAGACATGGTCACTGTTCAAAACATCAAAGCTTTGGGACATGCAATGAGGTCACTTGTCCCTCTTTGGCATGGGAGTCAGACACCTGACCAAAGGGAGGCCACTTCCTGGCCCTCCCTGCCTCAGCACCCAGGGCCAACACCACACCCCCCTTCCAAGCTGAGACAAGCTGATTTTGCAGGTGAACCAGACACTGGGTCCTCCACTTCTCTTCTTCATTTCCTCTCCAAACTTACCAAGCACAGCCTCCCTACCTGGCTGCAGCTGCTAAGTCCACATCACCCCCACCCCCTGTCCCCCAGCACCACCCCACTTCAAAGGGGCCCAAGAGAAGCAGGGAGGGCCAGCAGTGCCACAGGGTGAGCGGGCCAGGTGAAGCCCCTTCTCTGCTTAAGGACTCCAGACAAACTCTAGGGCTGCTCATTGTCCCAGACAGGCCCCATTCCGGGCAGGAATTTCTCCAGGCCCCGAGAAATTTTCCTGGGGGAACCACACCGCATAGCCCAAAACCCTCAAGGAACTCACCAGCCCAGCAAGCCTATCCCAGTTGGAAGCCCCACTCACTGCGGATGAAGCTTGTAGAGCGTCCCATCCACTCCTACGGTCACGTTCAGATGGTTCAGCCCTCTGTTCTCCCGGATCTTGTCCACCACGGCAGCCATGCCAGCGCCACACAGCTGCGCAGCCCTCCGGGACACCACCCCGCACACGGTCTTGACGAGGATACTGTCATCGCATGTACTGTTCAGACCTAGCTGCTGCAGGATGGCCCGGACCTGGAGCAGCGCTAATCGGTCACTGCGGTGGACAAAAGCCAGCAGGTGGGATGAAGTGGGACCTACCTCAAAAGACTGGCCCTACATCTATGATCAACATCATGGGGTTTTTCCTCTTCAAAATCACATTTGTTTTTTTTAAATGATCCCCAAAATACTATATGCTAAACTGTAGAAAATCTGGCAAATCTAGAAAAATTAAAACTGGAAAAAAAAACTATCCACAGGCTCAACATCTAGGAAAATGCTATTAACATTTCAGTACATTTCCTTCCAGTCAATTTTTCATAGATGTTAAACAGCAGTTATGTTTTAGATCTAAAATATCCCCCAAAAGTCTCCTGTGTGTGGAAGTTGACTGGATCATGCGGCCCTGTACTCAACAGTGGATTCGTCCGTTGGTGAGTTCAAAGCTCAGTCTTATGGGAAGTGGGCCCTGCTTTGGAGGGGGTCACTGGGGCGTGTCCTGGAAGGAAGCATTCTCATCCCCAGCTCTTCCTTTCCTCTCTCTGCTTCCTGTTTCTGCCTTGGAGCCAGCTGCCCATGGTCTAAAACCATGAGCCAAAATAAACCTGTTTT